AACAAAATGATACAGAGAAGTTTCCAGAAATTTATTTACCGTTATTAAACACATCGTTTAAAACTTGATCTAGAATGTCTCACTAGCGACACCGAATTCGGTATAAAAGCGGTCTGCCATGGTCTGACTAGATCATTTTGTTCTTGATTGTCAAATTATACACATTAATTTTTCCACATCCTGTATTTGCTTGGCAACCTATTGTTAACACAGGTATTTTATTTTACACTTTATAAAAAATTTTTTGTTTTTTCTTCTTGAATTTTAACTTCTTATTTATACTTATAATAGAATCGGGAAATTCTGTGCGCAATAATTTTCATCGCGGATACGCTTTTTGTCTCACTGATGTACTTTTCACTTATCTGACTACTTTGACTAATTTGACTTGCTGCGAATCAGCGCCTTTGAAATGATTGGAGATACTTTTATAAAAATTCTCTTCATCAAGAACTTTGTAATTTTGCGTTGACTAGTTTTTATATATTTATTGACTTTTAATTCTTGCGGATTTTTATAATTATCTATGTTCTCATTTGAGGTTATTTTTTGTATTACTGAAGATGGTCTGATTAAAGACCGAAACGTCTATATTTTTAATCATTAAATATATATTAATTCGCTACTAATATCTTGCGTCCGTAGTTTGTTTGCCTTTTATTTATCTCTTTTTGTTTTAATATTGAACTACGTCTTGACCTAATTTATATTATATGGTATTTATACAAACTTACCTATTTAAAAAAAGGTAAAAAAAGCGCCAAGCATGCTTTTCGTGAAGAATCATTTGAGTCGGTTTCACCAACGCCAATTACATAATTGGCCGTGGAACTGACTAATTGTGTTTGCTATTTAGTAGAATTGACCACTTATGATTGACAGTTAATCATCGATTCGGCTTAATCGAGTTGATGAAATCGGCCCTTTCTATATGATACTAAGTATCCAACCCAATTAATAGTAGGTTTAATTTTTTTTCAACGATATTCTTATAATGATATGTATTATTCGTATAAAAGATTTGATATCAACAAAACTGGCGCCAAGTTAAATCCCATGTAATTCGGATAGGAAATTATAAAAATAATATTAACTTTAATGCTATCATTTCTATAAAAGGTTTGATATCAAGAACTGGCGCAAAGTTAAATCCCATTTCTTTATACCATGTCATATTAAATAAATAATAAATATTAGTCTTATGATATGTATCATTTGTATAAAAGAATTGATATTAATAACCGTGGCGCCAAGTTAAATTCTACTATCAAAATAAACAGTAAAACCCAAGTGATAATATCTTTATGATCTTAATCTAATGGTATTATCATTAATTTTTATGCAATGGAACCTAAGTATACATATGTAGATTTTATTGAAGGATCTTCCTATTCCAATCCAAATGATTTAAATTCCTCTCAAATGTAATTATTATATCACAATTCACACACACAAAGACATTTCCTCTTCCAACTAAAGTAGTGGTTATTTAATTCTCTTTCATAATATTATATAAAACATTATTACAAATTTAAATAGAAAAATTTTTCATGTAAAAACACTTAGTGCTGCTAAATCTCGATATAATAACGGCAAAATACGAATGTAATATTTAAAAAAATAAAAGAAATAAGAATATAATACTTAGAAAATATAATATTTAGAAAAGTAACGTAAATAAGGAGCATATTAATAAGAAAAATTAGAATCGTATTAAAAAATATAAATGTTTAGAGAAATAAGAAAAATAAGAAGCATTAGAGCTAAAGTATCTAGTATGTGTATATATGCGAATGAATTATAGAGTCGTGTAAATTATGAACGTTGTGAATACTGTTAAGTTTATGCCTAAAAAAAATAAATTTCGATTTGTAAGACATGCATTATGAAAGAAAAATAAATAGTAAACTTTATTCTTATTCAATGTAAAGTTCAGATTAAATTTTTTATTACTTTCATGGTAAATATCTTGATCTTGAGGGAACAACCCTCCAAGTGTTTTTACATGAAAAATTTTTCTATTTAAATTAAATTCTTTCACTTTATACGGTTAACTCTTTAATTTTTTGTGATAACGCTTAAGTTGAGCAAGGTAACGCAATTTTGTGATAACGTTTTATATATCACTTTGAAGGAGAATTAAATAACCACTACTTTAGTTGGAAGAGAAAATATCTTTGTGCGTGCGTGCGTGCGTGTATGTGTGAGTGTAAATGAATTGTGATATAATAATTTCATTTAAGAGGAATTCAAACCATTTAGACTGGAATAGGAAGATCCTTCAATAAGATATACGTATACTTAGATCTCAATGCATAAAAATTAAAGATAATGCCATTTGGATTATGTAAATAATAATAGAGATAATATCACTTGGGTTTTATTTTACATTTTGATAGTAGAATTTAACTTGGCGGCACAGTTGTTGATATCAATTCTTTTGTATACAAATAATACGTATTATAAGATTAATATTTATTATTTATTTAATTTGACATGGTATAAAGAAATGGGATTTTTAACTTTGCGCCAGTTCTTGATATCAAATCTTTTATAGAAATGATATCATTATAGTTAATATTATTTGTATAAAATAAGTAATTATAAGGTTCCGTATGTATGAAACAATATGACAATTAAAAAGGGCATAAAACCAATATTTAAACAAACAAACTTAATTAAATTAGACTCATAAAGTTATAAATGTTTCGAATCCAATCGGGTCATTTTCAATATTACAAAGGTAAATCATAAATACAAGTTCAATGTTAAGTAAATGAAAAGACCATAACTTTAATAATTCGTTAAATTGCCAGCAAAATCTTGTCCTTACTATATAAAAAATTTTTCCTCAATCTTCAATCACAGTTACAACATCTTAAATAAAAGTAAATATGTATAAATAATAATATTTTATAAAATCGCAAGCGTAATCTTGTCGTTGAAATAAAAAGCGTAAGTTGTCCATTTGATATTTTAATCTAAGTTGCGAATGAAATCGTATCTAAGAAAGAATAATTCAAAACTTGAAACCTAAGGTAATATATAAAGAATATTGTCTATAATGTGTAACACAAAGTCATTTACCTTATCGGTGAAATATAATTACATAGTAATATATACCTATGTCAGTGAAATATAAAAAAATCCAATGTGTCAGTGAAATACAAAAATCCAGTAATGTGCTATATTTTGCGTTGTAAATACATGTTGTAACTTTAAAATATTTTGCACTGATTTACGCGACACACTCTTGTTCAGGTCAAATAATGTAATGTAACGGCAGAAGGTCAGGAGAGGACAAGAAACCGTGACAATATTAAGAAATGGAAAGGGAATGTATCATGTTAGTATATGTGTCAGGCAATGACTCTGTATCCGTTTGTCTGTTTATACCTTGTGTTTGCTTCTTAATGTGAACCATCTCAGAAATTAATCTTTTTCTATAAGAAGGTTCTATATATAATATTTTCACGCTATTCCACTTAAAATCGTGATTCGTTTCAATTCTGTGATTCGTTATTACAGATGGAGATTTTGATAATTTGTTAATGTCAGAAACATGTTCATGTACTCTTGTTTTTAATTGTCTCTTCGTTTGGCTTACATAGCTTGCTTCACAATTTTTACAAGATATTTTATAAACTACACTTTGGTTATGTGTATGTTCTAATTTATCCTTTCCCCTTTTTATGTATTCCTTAAGTGTATTAGGAATGGTGTATGCCAATTTGCAATCAACAACATTAGCTATAAGTTTGAATTTCTCAGAAACAGAATCAACAAACGGAATAGCAAAAAATTTTTTTAAAGCAAAATTATTAGTGTTCTCATTAATATTATTAAAATGGTATTTTAATCTATTCTGGATTGTCGAAAAAATAAATTGAAGAGGGTATCCGTTGTTTAAAAAAATATTGACAGCATTAATCAAATTCTTTTGTTGAAAAGTTGAGTGGCATAAGCGAACTATTTTATCTTGGACACCATATATAACCCCTCTCTTATGACAGACCGGATGTTTGGAATGGAATTTCAGGAATCTACCAGAAAAAGTAGCCTTACGATAGCCATCAAATATCAACTTACATTCCTCAACACTACTCAAAGTATCTAAAAAACTTATTTTTCCATCATTGCCAACTTCCATAGTGAACTGCAATCTTGTGTACAATGAATTAAAAATATACAAGATGTCATTGATGTTCTCCGATGGGGCCGCCAAAATAACATCATCTATATTCCGGTAATAAAAAGATAACCGAATAATCCAATTGCGGTTTCCTCAAAATCCTGCATAACCATGTCTGCAACTATAGGTGATAGTGGGGATCCCATAGGGGTCCCAAAAATTTGTTTGTAATATTTACCGTTAAAAATAAACACTGCCGAGTTCAGTACTAATCGAAAGCTATCATAAATGCCTCCAATGTAATTTTTTTCTCATTGGATATGGACTCCCATCTCCAAACGACACTATCATTTGCCAAATCCATGGGTATATTAGTAAACAGGGAAACCACATCCAGTGAAACCAATAACGAATTAGGTTCAAGATTAATATTTTTTAATTTGTCGATTAAATCAATACTATTCTTAATATAACTTGGAACTTTATGTATTGAATTATTAATAGTTTTGTGTAAGTATAGTGATAAATTATATAACGGACTATTAACCGATGAGACTAAAATTCTAAGAGGATAATTAATTTTGTGAATTTTGGTAAGCTCAACCCGTAAGCTCTCGGAATACTACCGTCAGTGCTAAGTAAATTTTTATAAGTAATGTTATCAATAAAAAATTTGTTTTTTCATCTGACCAGAATATTACGTAAATCATTAGTAATTTTGCGTGTAGGATCTTTACTGATTATTTCATAAGCATTTTCATCCGAAAGCATCAATTCCATTCTATTAACATAATCAACCCTGTTAAGAGCAACAGTCACATTTCCTTTACTCGCTTTTGAAAATAATAATTCTGAGTGCTCCTTAATAAATTTTTTTGTAGATGTTATCCAACTAGATAATTGCTTGGTGTTGGAATCACTTTTTGGAAAATCATTATGAAATTTATCAAGAATTGGAATTGCATTATTTCTTATTACTGTATTATTAGGGCGATTGCTAATGTTACTTTCAATACTCATGATAAACTCTATAAATGTATGCTCAAAATTATTTCTGTTAATGGGCAGTTCTAAACCTTCTCCCAATTGCAACAAATATTTAACATCCATAGGAATGTGAATACCACTCAAATTCAGGAACCATTTTTCGTTTAAAGTGCTTAAAGAGACTGTATCTCCAAATTCATGAGCAGTAATGTGCATTCTTTCCACAACAAAACCAGAATCATCTATAGGAAAATCTTTCGACACAGTTCCTTTAAGCACTTTAAACGAAAAATGGTTCCTGAATTTGAGTGGCATTCACATTCCTATTGATGTTAAATATTTGTTGCAATTGAGAGAAGGTTTTGGACTTCCCAGAAATAATTTTGAGCATACATTTATAGAGTTTATCATGAATATTGAAAGTAACATTAGCAATCGTCCTAATAATATAGTTAATGTAATAAGAAATAACGCAATTCAAATTCTTGAGAAATTTCATAATGATTTTCCAAAAAGTGATTCCAACACCAAGATATTATCTAGTTGGATAACATCTACAAAAAAATTTATTAAGAAGCACCCAGAATTATTATTTTCAAAAGCGGATAAAGGAAATGTGACTGTTGCTCTTAACAGGGTTGATTATGTTAATAGAATGGAATTGATATGCTTTCGCGCGGATGAAAATACTTATGAGATAATCAGTAAAGATCCTACACGCAAAATCACTAATGATTTACGTAATATTCTGGTCAGATGGAAAAACAAAGGTTTTATAGGTAACATTACTTATAAAAATTTACTTAGCACTGACGGTAGTATTCCGAGAGCTTACGGGTTGACCAAAATTCACAAAATTAATTATCCTCTTAGAATTATAGTCTCATCGGTTAATAGTCCGTTATATAATTTATCACTATACTTACACAAAATTATTAATAATTCAATACGTAAAGCTCCAAGTCATATTAAGAATAGTGTTGATTTAATCGATAAATTAAAAAATATTAATCTTGAACCTAATTCGTTATTGGTTTCACTGAATGTGGTTTCCCTGTTTACTAATATACCTATGGATTCGGCAACTAATAGTGTCGTTCGGAGATGGGAGTCCATATCCAGCGAGAAAGGAATTACATTGGAGGCATTTATGATAGCTTTTCGATTAGTACTGAACTCGACAGTGTTTATTTTTAACGGTAAACATTACAAACAAATTTTTGGAATCCCTATGGGATACCCAATATCACCTATAGTTGCAGACATGGTTATGCAGAATTTTGAGGAAACCGCAATTGGATTATTACCGGTTCGGTTATCTTTTTATTATCGGTATGTAGATGAAGTTATTTTGGCGGCCCCATCGGAGAGCGTCAATGACATCTTGTATGTTTTTAATTCATTGCACACAAGATTGCAGTTCACTATGGAAGTTGGCAATGATGGAAAAATAAGTTTTTGGACACTTTGGTTATTGTTGAGGAATGTAAGTTGATATTTGATGGCTATCGTAAGGACATTTTTTCTGGCAGATTCCTGAATTTCCATTCCCAACATCCGGTCTGTCATAAGAGAGGGGTTATACACTGTCGGAAATTGAAATCTCAACACCATGAAGGAGTTGTGCTAGATGAATGAAAGTTACACAGAATGTTTGTTTACATGAGTTATTATACTGATATCTCTGTATAAACAGACAAACGGATACAGAGTCATTGCCTGACACATATACTAAAATGATATATTCCCTTTCCATTTCTTAATATTGTCAGTTTCTTGTCCTCTCCTGACATTCTGCCGTTACATTACATTATTTGACTTGATCAAGAGTGTGTCACGTACATCAGTGCAAAATATTTTAAAGTTACAACATGTATTTACAACGCAAAGTTATAGCACATTACTGGATTTTTATATTTCACTGACACATTATTGGATTTTTTTATATTTCACTGATATATTACTGTGTAATTATATTTCACCGACGAGGTAAATGACTTTGTGTTACACATTATAGACAATATTCTTTATATATTACCTTAGGTTTCAAGTTTTGAATTATTCTTTCTTAGATACGATTTCATTCGCAACTTAGATTAAAATATCAAATGGACAACTTACGCTTTTTATTTCAACAACAAATTACGCTTGCGATTTTATGAAATGTTATTATATATTTATATTTATTTTTATTTAAGATGTTGTAACTCTGATTGAAGTTTGAGAAAAAATTTTTTATATAGTAAGGACAAGATTCTGCTGACAATTTAACGAATTATTAGAATTACGGTCTTTTCATTTACTTAACATTGTACAGTTGTACTTGTATTTATGATTTACCTTTATAACATTGAAAATGACCCGATTGGAGTCGAAACGTTTGTTACCTTATGATTCTAATTTAATTAAATTTGTTTGTTTAAATATTGGTTCTATGCCCTTTTAAATTGTCATATTATTCATATAATTTGGTATCCGAATTACATAGAACTTAACTTGGCGTCAGTTTTGTTGATATCAAACCTTTTATTCGAATGATACATATCATTATAAGAATATCTTTGAAGAAAAATTAAAACTACTATTAATTGTGTTGGATACTTACAAGGGAACGGTCGGAACTGTCCCTCACCGATTTTAATGCGCTTTGGATATGTTGTAAAGCATCAAAAAATATTCGACCCATATTTTTTTATAGCGGC